CCGGGGCCAAGCCAACAGATTTACGTCTGGCGAAGGCACATACACGAACAGCGCAGTTAATATTTGTTTTGAAATTAATTCTATTTGTGTTGCAGACAAACTTCATGATGCGGTCCTACATCTGCGTATCCATAATGATGGCCTCAATAATCCTGATGTACACCCACGTTGAAGCACTTCAGGCAGAAAAATTAGTGCCGCCGAACCCAAGTAAGTATTTTCCGACGTCATTAATTTTTATTTCTTATTATTCCTTGTTTCGCTAATAGCCTGTTATTATCTGAACATGCATATTTTATACGATCTCTCCATACTATTTAATAGTCTGGAAATTGCTGAATTTGTTATACCTCGTGGTTTCTGCTGTAAACATTCTTTTAATACACCCCAAATGCAAACACAAATTTGTCGGTGTATTAAAGAAATATTTAATCTTGGATATTTTTTATAATCCTTGCATGACAAGCGTGCTATTTGATATATCTTTTAATCTGTGTCCCCATTCGACGCATATCATATCATTATCCAACGCCTTGTCTTCTAATTCAGTCTTCTCGCTAAGGACCCTGATTTGTGCCATGTGTGGCACAAATCCGTTAATGGTTTTGTTTATTCACCCATTCTCCTGTTAAATGGACGTAACTCCTCGCAATATTCATCCTCCATGTCCTCTACAATCTTGACGTACCTTATTTCCGCTTTATTCGCTGATGATGTCTGTTGACACATCTCAGTATGCCATTTTCTGTTCTTTACTCTTATAAGGCAACCTCCTAATCATTTCGGTTTCGTTCTGCAAATTTTTATTTCCTTCATTATCCTAGTTACAAAAACCAAACTCAGCTTATTTAAATTTTCAGATAAATGCCTTATCTGTAGATCATGTCCGCCTGTGACCTTAAGTCTGTCTCGATTAAAAACAATGTTGGTATTATAACACGTAGCCCTGATGATGGAGGCATTACGCACTTCTGAAACGTCGGACAAAAATTATATGACACTTCACGGCGTAATGTCCCAGAAGGAAGTCGGTCGATGTTCGATCGCTGGTCCAGTGACTGAGATAAACTCATTTATCGGACTCCGCACCTAAAGACGAGGGCAGATTCGGTCATCGAAACGCCTCAGAATAGATTCTATTGTGCTGTTTTCCATTTGGTCTTGGCTGGTGTTTATTTTTCCTTTAATGTCATTTGTTATTTCACTGATTACACTGTGTTCTTCATAGCAAAAGATAGGTTTATTTCACACACTAATTGATATTGATTTCTTCTTTACGTCACTTGAAACAACTGAATTAATAACACTTGAAATAATTTTTCTCCGTTAGTTCCCCTTCATTTCGATAGTTTTGAAATCACACTTGTTTCATTGTCCACTGCACTCACGTACGAGGTGCGATCAGAAAGTTTCAAGACTGCGCCTATAAAAACCCGTACACTTATCTCAGGTATTAAATTCATCCATCACCCTCGAAGTAGTTCCCCTGGGAGTGAACACAACGATCCCAGCGCCGCTGCCAAGCCTGGAAGCATCCCTGGAAATCTTTCTTTGTCAGCCTGTCAAGCACCATCTGCGATTCTGCCTGAATCTCTTCTATCGTCTCAAATCTCCTTCCCTTTAGCTGAATTGTCATCTGTGGGAAGAGGAAGAAGTCACACGGAGCTAAATCCGACGAATAAGGAGGGTGCGGGATGACGGCCATAGTGTTTGAGGCCAAAAACTACCGAACTTTGAGGGCGGTGTGCGCTGGCGCGTTGTCATGATGCGTCGCATGGGGAGTTCTTCGTTTAGAATCAGCTGACAGGTCCCATAGCCTATCCCAACAAGGTCGCACAAGTCGTTGATGGTACGACGTCGATCTTCATCATCGACAGAGGTTCGGTCATTTTTAAAACGTGAATGCCACACCAAAGTTTGCGGACTCCCCAAATGCTTGCTTTGGCATTTCATAGGTTTCCGTAGCCGTTTTGGCGAGTCTTTGGCCAAATTTGATGCACACGCCATTCCGAAATCGCAGGAGGGTCGGTGTAATGCACTACCAAAACGCCCGTAACTAAGAAACAAATGCTAATTCGATGATGCCGGCTGGCACACTGATTCACTATGAATGTAGGCCGCACCCCCTAAAGGCAGAAGCTCGTACTACATCCAGTTCGCCCGCTATTGACACAGTCTTGAAACTTTCCGATCGCACCTCGTATTATAACCTGCAAGATCTCGTCCTAAAATGCCAGAGACGAGTGTTTCCATTTAGTTTCTTTGTGTGCAGGAGAGATGTGAAAAACCAGTACAAGTGATTCGAAATTCAACAGTCGATCAATCAGTCATGTTAATCAGTCGATTGATAATTCCAGACCACCCCGGAAAGTGTTACGATGACGAGACTAATGCAGCCTACGGAGTTGGCGAGACTTGGAGCAAAACAGGGACCTGCATCCGTTACAGATGCAAAACGGGACCGGACAATAATTTCATTATCGATATCAACGGGTAAGATGAAATCTATAATTCACAGGAAACAGTAGCATGAAACAGTTTCTTGTTAAATCTGACACAGAAACTTAAAATCGGAGGTAAAATTACAGAGACTGGGCAAATCTTCTACCGTTAACCCAATGCTCTAACAATCTCTTTATTCACGAATGTCGATTGTGGTCTTCTTGGTTTTAACTTCTGAAACCATCTACGAGATTACACAACGTCATTCTAGTAGACCACAATCGACATGAATGTCTTCCTTGAAAAGTCAAAGTACGTGACTTTCCCATATAAAATACTGTTTCTATTAAATGTCCCCCTCATGTATCGTTTCCTGTTTTATTACACATCTGCTTTAACTTGCCCGTATCTACAAAAATATATGGTCATTCAATTAATGTAGTATTGTCAAAATATTTAAATTAAGTGAACTATAATGCATAAACATGTATCTTGGAGACGACTGTTTCGAAGATCGAGGTGGGTTTTGTTAAAATGTACCTTAGGGAAATTAATTTTGGTCATTAACTTAAATTGCATTAAACTGCTTCAAGATTCATTTCAGTATTACTATCTTTAGACGTCTTTGGCTGTTATGACAAAATTACCCAATTAGCTAGTTAGAAATAGAGTTAATAACCTTATTAGTAAAAATAATTTAGTAATATATTTCTTATTTCCGTCTATACACAAAACTTAGTTGTTAAAATTGGTGTTATTAAAGTTAAAATTTACAAACTTAAAATAAGGCGCTCTTCATCGCTATTACGATGTTACAATTTTAGCGCTCATTATTTTATTTCACAACATGTTTCGATACTACCGTATCATCATCAGGTTCTTAGCGTTATTTTTATCTTTAAAACTAATGTATATTTTATAATGCAACTATCATTGATTTGTTTGTTTTGTAGTTTTCATTTTTGTAGGTTGTTTCTTTTTACTACAAATTTAAAAATAATTTGTTAATTAGTAGGCCTTCTATATTAATTAGACAATGAGTCATTTACTGATTATTATAAATAGTAAGTTAATTATGAAGCCTGCTATTAAATTAATTTGTCAGCAAGTTAGTGAGTTTACTGTTGATTATGAAAATGATGTTAACAGCTCAACAGTCACTGTCCTTGAAGTACTGAGATCATTTGTTTCCCTTTTCTTCTCATACGCAGATGCAGCCCTGTAAACGCAAGCCCTCCCTGCAGAGTCGTCAGTGGGAAAAGTGACGAGCCCTTTCCAGCGTGCTGTAACACTATCGCCTGCGACTAATCGGACCTACGACACGAAGGGAAAACTATAATTCTTGTAAAATACTGGAAAATTCTACTTCAGTCCAGCGACAAATTGGTTTTCTTCTCCTAAGTCACTTCATAACTCAAACCTGAAATCCGAATTTGAATAGAGGAATTAAACTACGGAGAGGATCGCTCCGACAATCCCAGTGCCAATGCGTCTATTGTAAACTAGACCTTACGTTATTGTTGTATTTGCTTGTAATTTTCGAAGGTTATAACAAGATCTGAGATGAAATCTACAAATTTGACGATGGGATTTGAATAAATTGCCAAATTCTTATCGTCCTGGAGGTCATAATGCGACCTTAAACTACGTGCGAGCCACACGAAGCTATTCTAGCCGTACCATCAAATACTAAACCCACTCAAAAAACGCCTAGGTCGACATTTAAGGCGATTTAATGTGGAGAATTTAACTGATTAGATGATAATACATGGATGATGAAGTGACTAAGATATTTTCTAGCAGCATGCTTGTAAATGTAGTCTATTGTAATAAAATATATATGTTATTAAACGGGGAAATATTATTCTATGGCAATTTATTCCACTGAAATCTTAAACTTCGGCCAAATTAAAGTATTCCTATCATATTGTCAGACACTTATTTTTACAAGAAAGCCTAGTTCACAGCTAGAATAGGTGGTGTTCACATTACGAAATTCAAATTCAAAATATTTCACTTCGACACCAGCACTTTCAAAGATTATTTTCTGAGTGGTCGTCTGTCTTACTTGATGCTGTCAACGCGTTCCTGTCTAATACGTTTTTTCATAAACGAGGTTCTGGAAACCGAGTACTGGCAGTGTAACATTCCGTCTGGCTTTGATTGTACTTTATTGGCGTCGTTCTGCCGGTAACGTGAATTGTAACTGCACAGAAGACGTCGAACTGAGATTACGAATATTAGTTTCCTCAAACAAATAAACAAACAAACAAAGAGAGAAGCAAACCAAGGACTGGCATCCGAGTGCACGATAACTTCCTGAACTCGAACTTGGATTTGGGGTCAAACAACCTCAAAATATTATGTCATTGCTATTAATTTTCAAATACAAATAAATTTTTTTTATAAATCTGGCAATGATCTGTTCCTTTCCTGTTAATTTCATCTATCGTAAAGAAAAAGTTTTATGATCAACAAAATTCCCATTCTTTTTGTGACCTACACCTTAAAAAAATAAAAGACAAACTATGAAGGAAGCAGATTTCCGGTTGCGATGTCAAATGCCCGGTTCCTGGTTCCAGTAATTTAAATGTAAGAATGACATATGTGACACTTACTGAAAGACGGAGAATCAAACATCTATGTTTTGTCTACTTGCAAGTATTACGTTCCGTCTGATTTGTTCCGAGGCTGTTGAGCTGACATGCACGTGATTTGGGATTAAGAAAAAAAAAATTCTTGCCCCCTCGTGGAAATCGCATACCCGCTCGTTCAAACCATTAAATTTGCAATTACGTAATTTAGTGTTTCTATTTGTCGTTTTGGTAATTAACTTTCACTTAAGAGAAGTGCGTAGGTCTGCTGTGTTTTAAAGCTACCGACTGAGTTCCTGTTCGAACCGTCTTATCACACCTCGATAGTACAATCAGGCTTCAAGGAAGACTAAAAACAGAAGTCAGTAATTAGCGTGTCCCTTATTGCGAACGGCAATAAATCTCGGTCTCTATCTAGAATCGACCATCAGAGAGTACAGAACAATTGACGTCTGTGAAATGATCATGGCCAAATTTAAGCTCACGTCGTGTTTTTTCTCAGTTTTCATAGTCCTTCATACGTCGGTGGATGCTCATTATGACGAGGATTTGAGAGTTGTGTATTCTCACCCAGGTACGTTATTTTAATAGTTTTTTTAAGCTTATTTTATTTTATTTTATTGTGGTTTATTTAACAACGCTCTCAACAACTCAGATTAGCGTCGAATGGGTAGTAGTTTACCGACGTTTCAGAGGCCCTTGCTGCCTCCATCACCAGAGCAATAAATGATATAAATTAGCCGATAAACCTCCCGCAAATGTAAGTCATAATTAGCATAAAACTGATTTCAATTTCCTTGTAATATTCAAACCTTTCTTTCCTTCATGTAAGTTACAATATCGGACTGATTTTTTTTAAATAATGTTTCAGTATACGATTATTAACCCAAAGCTCACCTAAATAATATTTCAAAATTCAGTTTCTGTCTCAAATAAAACACAGCGTGTCTCCGTTACAAATATTAATTGCTTAATGTTGTTTACTATGCAGTAACTATTGAGTAAGTTAAAAGGATAGCAGAATGTCGTAGGTAGTTCGGCGCTGAGATACACTGCTGTGGCAAGGAATAAATGTCCTGCGTCAGAAAGGAATCACTTTAAAAATACCTGTAAATGAGACAACGAGTGAGTAGCCTACGAGAAGACAATGTCATACGGACATCAGAGTCATCGACCGACAACTCGCTTATACGCCAGTCGGTGATAACAGTGATTTAAGTTCAGCAGAATGTAATAGATCAGGCAGCCACATTGGCAAAGTATAATTATGTATGATATCGAATAAGGCGGTCGAAAACTTCCTTTATATCGGAAGTAATAAAAATTACGCTGTCGTTAGAATTGAAAAAAAAAAATTTTCTTCACCGTCGTTCATGTAGGAACTCTTAAAATAGGACGTATCTATGCGTTATTTATGGGGTCTCGGGTTCGATTCCCGGCGGTGCCCGAATTTATAACTTGCGTTGGGCAAGGCCGTGGTCTAGGCAACACGGAGCTTTCCTCCGTGGCATCCCAACAATTACTCCATTCACACACAGAAGAAGGCAATGGCAAACCACTTCTGGATCATCTGCCAAGAACGTATATGAACAGGTCCCAGTCCGAGAAAAGGATCGAAGGATCCTGTTCGTAATGTCGCCAACCTCCTGTAAGGAGACGGTGTAATAAAGACGAAGAATGCGTTATTTCAGACGACAGCAGACATTTCGATGACATTCTTGAGCCAATCTATTGAAGTGATCCCTCTTTGAAGATGACACTGTTAAGTTACTTTTATATTCGTATAACTGATTCACGTTGCAGCGAGTACATTTAAGTATGTCATAGTCAGTATAGTAGAGTTTGTAAGGGGGACAAAATTGAAACCTAAACTTATGTCGCAATTTTCCAGCGACTGTTTTCGTGTTTATTCTGCATAACTTTCTTCCGAGTCAAACAAACTACAATAAACAGCCTCACATTAGTCAAGCTCCTGCCCTACGTACAATAACGCCTTCGATGTCGGCCCGTAAGATTAGCATTGTTCCAGAACACCCCGGAAAGTGTTACGATGACGTCACTAAAGCAGCCTACTACGTCGGCGAGACTTGGGAACAAGGAGGAGAGTGCGTCCAGCACAAATGCATCCAGCACAAGGGGAAATTCGTCATTAGTACTTCCAGGTATGACACATTACAAGTTTATCCGTACTTCAACAGCCCTAAAACAGCAAAGTTCGAAACGACGGACTGAGAGAATAATTAACTAACAATCTGACTCAACGATTCAACAGCTCCCTGGTAGGCCTAAGAAAAGTCATCTTTCATTGTACAAATTCTTAAACTTTACAGTAAATTATTATTGCGAAGCTAATTGCATTCCAATTACCACTCAACAATAAATCAGAAACAATTTTCCTTGCATTTTAAAAAAATATTTAAAACATATGTACCAGAAACCAACATAAAATTTCTGATAAAGTCACACAGTGCCACAATTTTTCGAATTTAGTTAAATAGTTTTGAGGTTATAAAACGCAGACAGACGAACTGACAGATCTTACCGTTTTTTTCGTGGGTTCTGAGACGAAATAACAAAACGTTATCTTCTTAAATAAGTAAACATATAAGTAGATAAATAATTAAACAAATAAATATGTAAATTAATGAATATATAATAAATACGATAACTCAAAAGTTTTAACACCACTAACAGGAAAAATTGCGTTCTAACACGTCTTGAACCAGCTACACGAAATTCGCATCTCATATTTTGAATCCGTCTTAATTCCACATCTCCTTCATCAACAAAGAGACTTCATTACGCATTTCTTGTGTCCTACACCTACAAAAGTTGCTTGTAAGTTTAGCAAAGTATTGAAAATGCCTTCCAAATGTGATTATTCATTATGATTTCAGATGCACTGACACTTCGAAATTCGAAAATGATATTTATTGCTGGATTATGGAGGGAGATATCGCCAGTTCATATCCCAGCTGTTGCCCGATAGTTCTTTGTGCCTAGTCGGAGTTATCAGGCTAAGTATAGGCCTGTACTAAGAAAGAAAGAAAGAAGAAAAGAATGAAAGCAGAAAAGAAAATATCTGCACGCAACTGAAAAGCTTAAAGGAAATAAGGCGACGTTCTATTTTTAGAAACTTGTGGAAATAAGTAACTATTAAATAATTTAAAGTGTTGGAATATAAAACCACGTTCACAAATGTTACAAATGAGGGGATTAATGTTGTTGTTTACATCAGACGAATTTTGCTAAATCAAATGACAAAGATTTTTTTTATTTCTTTCAAATTATCCCCTTCCATAACAAACATTTTAATATGTCATGGCTCACAAGAACTGCAATATTAAATGAATACGTGCCGGAATAATAGCGAAATATTTCCTGAATTGTTCTTTCGATAAATATACGATCGATAAGTCGCTGTTAATAAAATCGAGATGTTTGTTACTCTCCATGAACTTCTGCAGAGATGAAATTACTGCAAATAAATAAATAAATTCACACAACTTTTGGTAAGTATTTATGAAACATATATAAAATATCACTTTCTACGTTCTAACTTATTTATACGTTGTTATTCGTTAAGATAAACTACTGTATAACGTCTTTGAAAATGGAGTTCGATTCTCGATATAGAAATTCTTCTCTTCGTTAATACGTTTCGACCACTTTTTGGGAACATTCGACTCCTATCGAACAAGTAAAGAACAGCAGACCGTGGATATGAAAACTCACATCCAATGGTGTCGAGTTCTAGAAAACTTGAAACTTTCACATCAAGGCGCTTAAGAATTTACTCTATGGAACAGAGGCCTTCCTGATAAGCCAACAGTAGCTCATCTGGCCAATAAATTATATGATGTTTACAAACCCCAATGTTCATTGCCGTATTTACAACAGCCGTCAACCAAACCTTGTTCTGATAACAACAAATATTCTGATAAGGTGTTCCTATAAGATACATTTTAATATTATAGTCTAATATACATGTAGGTTTCTAAATATGACCCTTCCCTTCGGACTGAACTATACAATGGACGTAGAATTGAATAATAAATCCAAAGGAATCATATTGGTTTCAGGGATTAATACTGAAGCACTAATGTTCGTAGCCCTGATGATGGAGGCAGTATGACCTCTGAAACGTTG